TGATAGATATCAGTAGAGGACTATGTAGATGCATCCCTGCTCTCATAAACGTTGCCAATCCAACATGTCAAATTACTTTTTGAAGACCAGGAATTAGCCTGGGCTTGAGCGGATTCAGAACTGGCAGCCCATATATGAAAGAAATTAAGAAATGCTAGAACTTTATTATTATTTTATTTTATTTTATTTTTTACCTCACCTGAGGACATTTCTCCATTTTTTGTTCAGACAGAGAAGGAGGGAGAGAGAGGAAGAGAGAGAGAGAGAAACATCGATGTGAAAGGGACACATCGAGTGGCTGCCACCCGCACGACCCAACCAGGGCCCGGGACAAACTGCAACCGAGGTACGTGCCCTTAGCGGGAACTGAACCCGGGTCTCTCTGGACCACAGGCCGAGGCTCTAACTGCTGAGCCAAACCGACCAGGGAGATGCTAGAACTTTAAAGGGACCTTTTAGCTAATCTTTCTATTCCACAAAGAAGGGAAATACCCTTGCTTTTGAAATGCCTAAGAATTCATGGCAGATATATGAAAATAAGAATTTCAAAGCATTCTATTTCAAATTACAGTGTTAGAGTCCACAAATCCACCTCCCATTTCTGCCAGAAACAGCCAGAGCACTCACCAGATAACACCCGATGGATCAGGATGAAGAACAAAACTGAGCGGAGTACTGGGACTGATTTGGCCATTTTTCCTCCTGGCATGTTCTGAAAATGATACTCTGAGATAGATACTGTTTCAGGATGTCCTCTAGTACAGTCAACAAAGTAGAGATAATTAGAATTAAGAACACCTTTGAAGTGAGTATCCTGCCCACTGCAGATTCTGCACACTGCGTTCGGAACGCCTAATTCCACCCTTACCCAAGAACAAATGATCAGGGAAAGTTAAACCTTGGTTCGTTATAAATAAAAGTATAGAACTTAGTGACAGATCTGTGACTACTTAGAAGACAAAAGTAAATAAGAGGTCACTCTTTCGGCATCACTGTATTATTTTAGTATGGAGGTATTTTAGGTGTCTTGAAAAGGCAACTCTTCACCTCAAGTATCCTCCCCCCCCCTTTAAGAATCTACAGAGAAAATGATAAAGCCAGGGGAGGCTTCTAGACAACAAGAGTTTTTCAACAGAAGAAGCAAGTTTGTATTTGTTCATGGAGCAGAGACTATCTCTGGATTAAGACAAAGATTTCTAATATTCCAGATATTGTTACTTATGCTGAAAATCTTCTGGTTGGCATTACTAGACTATCTTGGTGCATTCTTGGAGAGTCCATAGGGATAAAAACCATTTCGTGCCATCTGATGGGACCCCCAAAGCTTTTTTCATCCAGATACAGAAGGAGACAAATCAATGAGCACATCCTCCAGTGGGATTACCTTTTCTGTAGCAGCCTTTCCAACCCTAGAGAATGATGCACAGAAGTTCCAGAGCTTGATCAAGGACCACATTGAACTCTCCTGCCTTTCTAATTCTGCAAAGTGCCCTCCCTATGTCCTTCAGGCCGTTATCTCTGCTCTGTAGCATATGTCAATAAGGGAATTTACATGAACTCTTTGCTGCTGTGCTCTGGTAAGACCTGAAAGGTCTCCACAATACACCACTGCCCAGGATGGCTGGAGGTCCCTGGCACAATGTCCAGAGCTGCCTACTCTGCCTGCTCCAGAGACAATCTTGGACACTCTGTTTTGTTAGGCATATCCCCATCTCTTCCTGACATCTTCCCTGGATTCTTTCAGGAATGGAGCAGCAACAGTGGAAGATCCAACTGTACTAGCACACACAATGCCAGAGGCCCACTCTCCCTACAGCATATGGACCAGTTAACCCACCTCAGAAAGAAGAGAAAAGGGAGGGAGATGTGACATGTTTTTTGGCTGGTGACTCTCATTTAAGGAGCCTCAGGAGGGGATAAAGGAGCTGTGTGGGAGGAAGGAACTGAGGCATTGTGTGCTGGGCAGAGCAGACCCTGGGAGGCCCAACATTCAGATCCCATCAACATCAAATCTTAGCAGGAGGCATTCAGGGAGAAAGCACAGAGCTACCTGGAAGACTTGGGGGATGGACAGAGTAGCCTTTGGTGGACATTCCAAAGAGGCAACACCACAGTAGGAAAGATCAGAGCAGAAAAAGCATAGCATGTTCCGCAATGTTTATTCACACCTGGCTGAATGCAAAATGTAGAAGACAGCTGAGGAAGAGAGGAGGTCACAGCAATGGATGGGGTGATGGATGCCACTGGCAGTGGGTCCAGCTTTGTTCCTGTATCAATCCAGAGCCTTTGCAGCTGTGCAACAGGAAAGAGATGTAATCTAAGCCGAGTTTCCCCTGTTATTGAGACGTCCTGCCTCCATCTTCCTTTCTGTAAAGATCAGTTGTTCTTATAGTAAGGAAATATATGTTTACATTAGAAAGTGGGCCAATAACAAAATATGAAGATGTGAAATCTCAAAACCCAGAGATAGCTGTTAAATATATATTAAATTATATCATTCCAGTTTAAGTATATATATAAACACACACACACAAAATCATAAACACATTCTTATTGTCCTATTCAATCACATTTTTGTATATATATTGTTTTCTGCTTTTTCACTTAGCACTGTACTATGATATTTTCTTTTCCAATTTCACTTGAGAATGTTTTTGCCATTGATTTTTGAAGAGTGGAAGGGAGTGGAGGGTGGGGGGAGAGAGAGAGAGAGATGAGAGAGAGACACATTGATTGGTTGCTTTCTGCATGCTCCCCCACTGGGGCCAGGAATCCAATCTGCAACCCAGGTGCATGCCCTTGACCAGGAATTGAACCTAAGACCCAAAGCTCTAACCACTTAGTAACACCATCCAGGGCACTATGAGATTTTCTTCATCTTTAAATATACTCATATCAAATATGAATTTAGATATTTCATCACATATATAGATTATATTAGATTGATATTTTTGTTGCTTCATTAGGTTGATTCCAATGTTCATTATTATTAATAAAGTTGAAATGAACAAATTTTATTTATTTCAGTTAATTGATCTCTCATCATTTTATTTTAATAAATTTCTAAAATCAAACTTACTAAAAACTTCCAGAAAGAGTCAGCTATAATATGAAAGAGGTGTTTTTCATCCAATTGGTGGGCTCTGCACGCGAATCCTAACATGGAACATTTTGAACATATCCTGCATCCTGTTACCTTACTAAGTGGAGCACTTCCCCCAGTTCAGAGAGGTAGAGTCACCCCATTGTATAGAAAGGATTCTGGACAGAATGCAAACAGAAGAGTTAGTTATAATACCTTGTCCACCTGGAAAGTAATTTCTTTTCTCTGGATAGAACTTTCTCATTTGCATGATGGGCTAAGAATCCTTCCTTAAGGATCTCTTGGAGGTGTAATTGAGTTAACATTTAAACAGCTTGAAAAACTGCCTGACCCAGATAATTCAGCAATAACAAGGGAATCAAATATTGCTACATAGACTAGTCTATCAGTTTTACTTTTAATACATTTGAAAAGGCCATTTTAGTGAGGACTTAAATTCTTGGATAAGAATCCAAAGTCTCCAAACAGAAGAATAAAAAGACATGTTCTATTTTTCTGCATATAAGTTATTTGGTTTATCTCTTCCCTCCCCTCCCACCCCCATCTCTCTGAGGTTTGTTGGTCTGTTCCCTGCTTCCATGATTCTGGATCTCTTTTGGTCGACAGCTTATTTTGTTCATTACTACGCAGCTGTAAGAAAGAGAGGTCTCTTACCCATTGAGATGACATGGAGGAACCTGGAGAGTATTATGCTAAGAAAAAAAGCCAGTCAGAGAAAGACAGATACTACATGATCTCATTTATTTGTGGAACATAATAAACAAAATAAGTTGTTGACCAAAAGAGATTCATTCTATTTCTTTTTCCTGTTATCTATGGTAATACTACCCTAACTGTAGTTCTAAATTTCCTCATCTAGCATTCCCCCTGTCTGCTTGGATCTCTCTATGTGGCTTACCTATGAGAAGGCTAACATCCATGAAGGCAGAAGCTGTCTTGGGCATCATGAGATCCCTAGAATGTGGATCAAAGTCTGGCGATAGTGGGTGATAAAATACAATCAGTGAAACCAAGTTTCATCCTTTCTTTCCATTACTTTCTGGGTACCAACCTCTTACCATATCTCACTAAGGCCAACACCAGTCTAGATGCCTGTCCCCTGCAAAATAGTAGCTGATGCACATACATCTACAAGAGGTGCCTGGATCAAGGAAGTGAATGGAAGATTCGAGCACCCTCAGAGAGTGCCCTTGACTATGGCTGGTCCTTTGCACACAATAGATTTTAATGGTTCTCTAAGTGTGCTAAAATCAATCCAATAAAGATTACTAATGTACTGAAGGTTAATCCAATACAAATGTATTTCAGACATTGTTCATGAGTATATTTTAACAATTTATTAGAGAATGCTTTTTCAAGGAGGATATATTTAGAAGGGGGTGTTTGGATACACTTTACATACATGTATTTTTAATAGTGAGAAAAATGTTTTCTTAAAAAAGAGTACAAACCCAAACTGTAGGCTCAAAAGTGCAGAGAAGTATTGACTGTCTTGATTTATGGTTTATGCTTCTATAGCTTTATATATATATATTTTTAATCCTCACCTGAGGATATTTTTCCATTTATCTTCAGATAGAGTGGGAGGAAGGGAGGAAAGAAGAGAGAGAGAAACATCGATGTGAGAGAGACACATGGATTGGTTGCCACCTGCACGACCCCAACTGGGACCAGGACAAACCACAACCGAGATACATGCCCCTGGCCAGAATCAAACCCAGGACTCTTTGATCCATGAGCCGACGCTCCAATCGCCGAGCCCAACCAGCCAGGGTTGGCTTCATATTTTAACATTATATTTCCATGTGACTTATAGTTCAGGAAAATGACCATAGATAGATAGTCTCCTTAAGACAAGAATCACATACACAGAGACGAGCCAGACAGTTTTCTGCTGAGATTCTTTTATTGAAAAATCAAATCCATATGTTTGCCCCCTACAGTATCCCAGGGAAACTGGTTCTCTACGTGGAATCTGCTAAAGGAAGCTTGTTGCCCTTGAGCATCAGGGAGACTTGCATGATCCATAATTTGCCAAATAAAGTGCACCACGGCTCTTCCTACAAGATAAACCATTTTTTTTTTTAAAAGAAAGGCTTTGGAGACCTTAAATCAAAAGTTTCATATTTTTAGATCAAACCAGTCAAATGAGTACACTGCATGAAAAATTAGCAATTAACCACTAAGTTTCAGTAAGATGAATTAAAAACAAATTCAATATTCTAGTAAAAGCCAGTGTCCAGAGTTAAAAAACAATCTGTGAATTTTTTAAATTTAAGAATACTGTCATAAGTGTCTCATTTTCCTAGCTTCTTTTCTTTTCTACTACCCACTTTCTTCCTTTCTTCCTCTCTCTCTTTTCCCCTTCTTACTTCTTTTTGTAAAATATTATGATCATCAGTGAACAGTCTCACTCTTATGCTACATAGCAGTTATTTGGTAGTCAAGACAGTTCCTGGCCCTGTGAGAAAGGCTATTTCTGCAAATAATATATTGAATTCAGCACTTACACAACACCGTTGCAAAACAAACACTTGTTGGCGTACACCACACCATCAGATCCACAGTGCGGTATATACTCCATGGTGCAGGCATCAGAAAAATGGGTGCACTCAATCTGCCCATGTCAAAAAAAGAGAGAAAGAACAATGTCCAATCATTAAATCATAGAAAATAAATATTTTAAATACCTCAAGGGATTATTTAGTCCAAAATCCTATATGCAAAAAAGACATATTCTCTGCAGTCTACATAATCTGACCCAACAATGGTGGGAGTATCGTCACAGCAAGGGAAAACTCAGCTCAGATTTAGGACTTCCCTCTCACCCATTCTCTACATGTGAGTGACAAATACATCCTGTGGATTCTACCTTGTACTTAATTTCCAAATTAGTCCTCTCCTCAGTATGCTGTTGTTCATTTTATTCACTTTGTTCACTCAGTAGGTTGTGCCTGCGCATTTGCAATTATCTGCCAATTGATTGTCCAGCCACCTCTGTGCTTTATCCGAGTTCAATCACCCTTCACACTGATGCCATAGTGATTATTTTACAAACCAAGTTAGATCTTGTTCTTCAAATACTTAACTAATTTCCCCATCAACAGAAAGTCCCCTGATGACCCCTGGTGCTTATCTCTCCAATCTCATCTGCTCTGCTTCTCATGCTAGGTGATTTAAAGACTGTATTCCCAAGTATTTTCTGCTCCTAAACATCCCTGAGCCTTTGCGTATGGTAATTTACCTATCTTACATGATCCTATCCACTTTATCTATGAAACCAAATCCCATTCCTCCTTTAAAGTCAGGTCAACTACTTCTATAAAGTTTCATGATGACATTTCTCTCTCTCACAAATCAATTTGGGTTAAGTACCCCTTCTTAAAATAAACTGTCCTTTACATGTTAACAATTCTCTTACATTATGTCAACTCTTATTCTAATTATTGACATCCTGCTCACATAACTATTTACTCCTGAACAGTCTCTGTATTTCTCTTGAAGTTTTTCATGCTTAAAAAAATAATTTTCTTTATTGTTACGAGAGTAACCTTGAGTCCCTAATTCCCTTGAAATCTTTTTCTTAACCTGTTAATTAGTTGCAGTGTTAGAAAATAATCACATGTATACCAACCTGCCCCAGTTAAGGGCTATGAGTAAAGTTTCTGAAGTCTTCCTCTGGGGAAAATATTAACTATACTTCAGGTCATCTGTTTAGGTAGGCCAGATGCCTTATCTATGACTATACACAATCATAGATAATTTCTAAATGACATATTTTCTGTGTGAACACGAGGAATTAGTATAATACTTTGTATTAGAATAACTATAATTTCTAAATATACTTACACATTTTCCATCATGAAGTTTTCTGAGTGTAAGTCCTTTTTCTCTGGAAGAGAAAATTTTATTGAATGGGTAATGCAGTTACTTGATATTTCATAATCAACAGAATGAAAAGCAATCGTATGTCATTCTGTATTGTCTGACTTGGACTGAGAATGAGGAGTTCTGGTTAATATTCTACTAAATTCACTAATATTGACCATTAATATCTTTGATGGATGATAATTTTGCAAGTAAATAAAAACATAAGAAAATAAGATCAACACTAAAAGGAAATTTAACATTTAAAAAATATTCCATGAATATTCAGATAAAAATCAAAGGAATAATATAATGTGAAAATATTTTTGCAGTTAAGAAAAAGAAAATATGCTCAAATCCATCTCTGGCATTAATAGTGTGGGTAATTTTATTACAATAATTTCTCCTTTCTGAGTTAGATTACTGACTTCTAAAACGAGGATATGAAATAAACAAGATCTCATCAGTCTTTAAACTCCTATGGTTTTGTAGTGTATGAGTTTTCATATCCTAGAGATTTTAGTCTGAATAACAATTAGTATTACACTTGACTGTAAATTTCAAAAGGGCTAGAAAATAAGAGAAAAAGAAGGAAGAAAATGATGAGAAGAAAGAAGAGCTCATTTCTGTGTGTATTCACTCTGTCTGCTGCTTAGCTAAGGTTCAACATGTTTTATCACAGTGGATTCTAAACACTACTATAAATTCTATCTTACCGATGAGAACACTATGTTGTGGACTGAGTATTTGCCTCATGGCACAGATCCACTAAGTGTGGTTTGGATTCTGATCCACATGTATATGTATATCCTTAGAAATATAGCTCATTTTTAATTTTAACAAAGCAATGCCCAAGGAGTATTGACAAAAGGTAGGATTTGTCAAACCATCTTTTAAAAAAAACAAGCAGATTTTGGCCAGTGTGGACTTTGTGATCTTTAAGGGGGTAGGGGAGAGGGCTCCAAATCGAATACCATACTTACTGGTTCAGGAGACAGTACATGCATTCATTACTGTAAACACGATTATCTATGCCGCATATTGGGTTCAGCTCCCTTGAGCAGGCAAGCTGAAAGCTGTTTCTCAAGTATTTGGAGCAAACCACCTGTAATTGGAACAAAAATAATGCCTTGCATTCTCTTTCATCAATTCTGTAGCTATTCTCATATCAGAATGTTAAGGAGAAAAAAGAGAGAGGAAAGAGCACCAGCCCCTTCAACTTTTCAACAAACATGTCTAGAAGATCTTCTATTGGGCCAGGTGCTGTGCTACAAAAACTGATCAGACCCAGAACATTCCTTAAGTAAAATAAGAATTGGCTGTTTAAGTCCTGGCTGGGTAGCTCAGTTGGTTAGAGTGTCATCCCGATACGAAGGTTTCGGGTTCAATTCCCAGTCAGGGCACATACAGGAATAAAAAAGCAACAAAGAATTGGCTGTTTAAGAAGGAAATATTCATATCTCCTTTTAGGGTTATAATGCAAGTCCAAAAGAATAATGAATGTGAAAAATAATCAGAAGAATTTAAAATGCTACCCAAAGGTAAATTTTACTGCATCTGCTGCTCCCCTTTTGCAACGAGATTCCTTTTGCAAACTTTAGAGAAAGAAACCGGAGACATAGGGTAGGAACAGTATTACCCCCTGGGGAATTATTTCAGTCCACTGTGAGCCAGTTTAGCTACCTCCCCAGCTCAAGTACACATTAGCTCTGATTTAGTTTGTACAAAGACCACACAGAGAAGGTCATACTCACCTCCGTCCCTATTGCATGATCACCAGAAGAGAGTGGAATGAGATGCAATTGGAGAGAAGGAATTGGAGAAAGCAAATTCCATGGTTAGAAATGCAAAACTGGATTCACTGTTCACAGTAATTAAAACCATTTCCCAACATTCTTTGCCCTGGCCAGACCTAAGTGAGGTCCTTTACTCAGGACCAACTCAGGGTGGAGACAGAGATGTATAGATTTGGGGGGAGGGGGAAATATGGGGAAATCTCTGGTTGCTGGAGGAAGGGCTGTCACAGGTCTCCAAGAGTTCCTGTGGCATGTCCAGGGTAGAGCTGGGTTATGATCTCACAGTTGCATAAGTGGTTTCTGAAAGGGCAAGTCAGAATCCTGAAGGGCCCTGAAGGGGAACTGAGTGAAGAGCCTATAATCCTTTATTCTTCTCTGTCTCTCTTCCTCTTCCTGAAGGTCAGACCCACCCCCACTTTCTTAATCAGACCTATCCAAATAGATACTTTCTAAATGTTCCTCTGACTTTAGCATTTTACTATTACGAAGGGCTGAATATATTGCAGTTAACATAAAGACATGGATGTTTAAAAGGACTCTTAACTCACCAGGTAGAGAGACAGCCCAGGTAGTGGCTGCCAGGCTAAGAAGAGCTAAAGCAGTGATGGTCTTCATCATGATGATAAGTGAGGGTGCTAGAGATATGCTGCTCAGAGGGACCAAGTCCAGAGAGAGACGGAGAACACAGTCTGACTGATGCATATGTATATATAGTGCACATATACATACACTAGGCGTGGTCCCACCCTCATTAAAAATTGAGCTTTTCAATGACTATTGGCTGTTTACCCAAGATAGGGCACTTATTTTTTTTTTTTTATTTGTCAAAGAAAGAGAGCTTCCTTATTATCTTTATTTATAGACAGTTGGAACAGTTACGCCCAGGAACTCATCAACCAAAAGGTGCTTTGCGTAACAATCCTTTGATTTCTCAGCAAATACAATGGCATGGATATATTTGAGAACAAATAAATCATAAGTATAGTAAGGAGAAATAAAAATTAAAATGACATGCATAAAGGGTGTAAGTTTTTTTTTTTTTGCACGATGATAATTGACTACTGGAATTAGTGGGGTGATCACATTGTAAGGTACAAAAATGTTGAATCTCTATAACTTAACATAATATTGTATATCAATTATACTTAAATAAAAAATGTTAAATGTTAGATTAAATGCTGGAAAGTTGAAATAGAAAGTAAAAGCAACAAGGACATTTCTTTAAAATGTACAGTAGTAGACAACATGAGTATTTAGTAATGTAACACCTTACTTTTCTAGAGTATGAAGATACTTTACAAAGTTCTATGAAGACTTTTTAAATGACTGAAATAAGCTGGTAAATTATGGATACCAGTATTATTACTTAGCAGATGGGACAACAAATTCAGAAAGATTAAATGTATATTATTTAGTCACATAGTTCATAGTCAGGAGAGCTAGTTCTACAAAATCTTAGTCCTTACTTCTCTCCTAAAATATTTTTTTTTCCTTTATTAAGATATATTACTTCAGTCCGGCTGATTTGGCTCAGTGGTTGAGGGTTGACCCGTGCACCAAGAGGTTGCCTGTTCAATTCCCGGTCAGGACACATGCCCAGGTTGTGGGCCCGATCCCCAGTGGTGGACATGTAGGAGGCGGCAATTGATGTTCTCTCTCATCAATATTTCTATCTCTCTCTCCCTCTCTCTTTCTCTCTCTCTAAAATCAATAAAGGAAAAAGAAGGATATATTACTTCAATAACTAAAATGGGTACTTATAATGAACATTCTGATTTTAGCATACTGTCTCATGACTCTTAAGATTATAACCATGATATTCTGTTTAACAATCCCATATATCTATTTCTATATCTAATCTATATCTCTATCATCTCTCTCTCTCTCTCTCTCTCTCTCTCTCTCTCTCTCTCTCTCTCATCTGTCTATCTATCTATCTATCTATCTATCTATCTATCTATCTATCTATCTATCTATCTATCTATTTCTGTCTATTCCCATAACCAATATGTTTTCAATAATACGGGCCCAGTGATTTCCAGTTACTTAGCACTTCATCCCTATTATCTCATGTGATCCTCACATCAGCTTTCCAGAAGGTAGAGTCAAGATAGAGTAAATTCACAAAAGACAAACTCAAAGATTGGTGGAGTTAAGCAAATTCCTCAAAGCAGACAGCTACCAAGTGATACAATCTTGACCAAAACAAAATCTTCTCATTTCAGATCTTACGATTTTGCAGTAACTGACTGCATTTGTTTCTAATTTGTGTTGTTCATTCTCACCCAAAGTTATTTTTTCCATTGATTTTTAAAGAGAGTGGAAGGGATTGAGGGGAAGAAGAAAAGAGAAAGAGTGAGAAACATTGATGTGAGAGAGACACATGGATTGGTTGCCTCCCGCATGCACCCCAACTGGGGCCAGGAATCCAACCTTGACCAGGAATCAAACCTGTGATCCTTAGGTGTGTGGACCAACACCCTAATCACTGACTCACACAGGCAAGGGCTGTTTCTAATTTTTTAAGGAATGTCTCTCTCATTCATACTTTTTTGTTTTTCAATACTACCTCTTTTCCTCAGGTAGAGTTGTATAATTTCAGTTTATGCCATTGTGAAATTTAAATACTTACACCTCATCCATATTTCAATGCTTCATCAACACTTGAAATATGTATAATACAATAAAATGCTCTACAGAAGCTTTTCTGAATGGGATAAATGATCTTTTCCTCAAGTCATAGAGAAGCATCTCACTAGACTGACCATGTTCGAAGTAGATCAAAATAAGAACAGTGGCTCAGAGGATGTCAGAGCTGGTGGGGCCCTGAACAAGCATTTGGGTCTATAGTTTTCAAACTTTATATCGTTTTTGTATAATGAAGAAATGGAACATGTGTTTTTTCCCAAATGTAATTTTATGAGGCTAATAAAAAATTAAACAGATATTTTTAAAGGCAGTAATTTAACTAGACTCAAGACAGGGCTCAAAGGTGTCTGCATGTCCTCCACACACAGCAAGTTTCCATGTAAATCCATTTCAAAATGTCCTAACTAGATTTAAAATAAAATTAAAATTAAATTAAAATAAAATAAAGGAAGTGAGACCACTCGGTGAATCAGATCCGCTGAAACTGGTGCAAGCTTCTTTCTGCTTTGTCATACTTTCTCACACCACCACTCAGCCTTGTTTCAACATGTGGTTTCTGCCTCTACTCATTTTCCCAAAGAAGATGAGGGAGGATCTGTCACCTGGGTCCTAGACTCAGTTCTGCATACTTATGGACATAACCTTCTGGACATCCTATAGCATCTTCAAATTCAACATAGTCCCCGAAAACCTTGATGCCAAATCCCATTTTTAATGGCTTCTCTCCAGTTTCACTCTGTGAAGATTTGTCAGTAGTAACCCAATCCAGAAAAATTTAGGAGTCTTCATTCTTCTCTAATTTTCACATCCACATCTAATCTCTCATCAACTAGGTTTTAAGTTGTGTGTGCCTTCCTCTTCAGGAAAAATAAAAAAAAATTTAAATGTTCTTTTTCTCTTTTTTATTAATTTATTTATGTTATAAATGTTTCTCCTTTTTTCCCCCTACACACCCTTCTTCAGATCCCCCACCCCACGGTAGTGTTGTCTATGTTCATTGGTTACACATATATGCATATAAATTCTTTGGTTTATCTCATCCCTCCCCCACGTTCCCCTTCTCTGAAGTTTGTCAATCTGAACCATACTCTTGTCTATGTCTCTGGGTCTATTTTATTTAACAGCTTACTTTGTTCATTATATTCCACAAATAAGTGAGATCATGTGGTACTTGTCTTTCTCTGATTGGCTTATTTTGTTTAGCATAATACTCCTCCATGTCGTCTCAAAGGATAAGAGATCTTTCTTTCTTATAGCTGCATAATGGTCTAGCTAGCAATCTACCTCCTGTGTTTTTCCCTTTTTGGAAATTCTCATAGGCACAACAGAGAAATTAATCCCATCAGTAAACTCTGACAAGACTTTATTTTTCGTTCTTCCTCTTGCCATCCACTCAGTAACCATGGATTTTAAAAAAGTATATAGAATTATGTTGAACTCAGTATCATCGCAATACACTGCCCAAATTAAAAGTCATTTCAAAGGATCCACACCCATTACTACTGCCAGTTGCTCACAATTTTTGTGTCTAAACGAATTGATTGGCCATGATTCTAGAGCAGCTAGCCCTTGATTATGGGTATGTATGGCCATGACTTCCTAGCAATCCCCGGTATGGTCCCATGCATGGTGGGTGTGAGTTTCAGTCAATCAGTGAATATGTACAAAATGATCTAGTCCTTCTTTGTCTCTAAAAAACATTACATTTGATTCTGAGTCTGCCATTCTGCCTGGATTTGGGGAGATTTAGTCTCATTCATTATTGGAGTTTATGAGGACCTAAGATGCTTAATCAGTGCCGAAACAGTGCAAGCGGGCCCTCTGGTCTGGACAATAGTGGTGCTGTCTGCATCATGGTGGTCCAAGCCAGCCAAAAATGGTTCCCTTCACCCACGTTGATCCCTGATTCTGTGCCACGCGTGGGACCATGTGATTTTTGAGATTGAAAACCCCTGCATCTAGGGTTTGTGAGACACTTTTTATTCACACACTCAGCAGCCTTCTGCCTTTTCAGGATATGGTCAAGTAGCAGTCTTGGTCAGCATTAGAACTCAGTCCCTTTCATTTTTCTTGAAAGTTTTATTCCTCTGTTTCCTTTACTTCCTAAAATATTCAAGTCCCAAAGCATAATTTCTTGCCTATAATTTATGCTTTTGTTTAGTTGCACTCGAACATCTTTTCAGGCAAATTACACACTTTTTTTTCCTAGTAGTTTTGTGATGGAGAGAAGGAAAGATAGAAGGAAGACTAGTTAATTGCTTTTTAGTATTGTTTACATCGTTGATGCTGAGTTATTATTTCTTATTTAATATATTGACATTAAAATGACTATCAACATTTCATTTTCTTTAGAATCTTATTTTGTGCTTTCAGGTTAGTGCTGATCGGGGGTTAAGCAGTGCCACCAGAAATCCTTTAGTGGGCACTTAAGCCTGGACTCATTCAACTGCCTACACCTCTTCTGAGTGCATGGGAACAGACTCTGGGTGGGGAAGGGAGTGCCATTTTCTGCTTGATTCATCAATGTCCTGTGACCAGAGGCCAGGATTTAAGCAAATATCCTTTGTGGACACAAATTGTCAATAACTCATTTTTAGAGACTTTGGCAACAGTTCTAGCCACTTTCTCACTTAACATTTTAGGAGCAAAGTGGATCTGGAGATAAGAGTATAATAAACTGATGAGTTTTCATTTCATCACTACTTCTAGGCCTCCGTTCATGTATGTCCAGGCACTGAAATCCACTTTCATTGTTAATCTCATTACAATGTGCTAAAAACTGCAAGTATACTATCATCCTGCCACGTGTTCCATAGATTTGGAGTTAAGGTTTTCCACAAACAAACAGAAGTGACCATTTCTGTAGATAATGAATAATTCTGTAGAGTTACTAAATATAAAATCCATTTCTTTTGTTCAAAAACATAGATAGGTAACATCATTTGCTCGAAGAGCACAGAACTGGGGTTCATAGGGCCAACGGGACTGGTGTAAGGAACGTGAGCTTAAAAGCCAC